CCATTAAACATCTATCGGATCTGTAGTGATGTCTTCTCTTGCATTCTTGATGCTGGTAATTTGTTGTTAGGTATCATTCTTTATCCCTCCTTCTCTTTCACTTTTCACATCTCCACTGTCCTTCCTGTTCCCACTTTAATTTAGGACAATGCCTAAACTTTTGCTAGGACTGTTACAGTAACCTCACACTAGCCTTGTCTTGTTTCTCTGTGTCTCAGTCACATTGTTATAGGAAGAAAGATCTTTCTAAAGTGCAAATGTCATTAAATCTTTATTGGCTTAAAACTTTTTAATGACTTCCTAATACTTTCAAAATAAAAATCTAAGCTTTTTCATATGGAATACAAAATCATTAATGATAAATACTCCTGTTTTTTTCCTGTATTTTCTTCTTCCTTGTAATCCCTCCCTGCAAGCCATAAGGAGCTTTGCTTCACTGCCTTTGTAAGTGCTCTAATTTGTTATTCTTCATCTTAAAATTGAATACAGCATTTCACATGTGATATGGTCAACATTAAGCAGACAAAAATTTTCCCTAACTTCTCCTTTAGTGAGATTATTGTTACTCTCTGGTTGGTATGGTCTCAGTATTTATTTGACAGAATACCTTTTAGTTAGTGTACCTCTACATTCACAGCAATATCTAGCTGTAAAATTTTTTTTAGCCCAGTTTCAATTTTACTGTTCTCTCAAAACATACTGAGTAGTGGGATGCATCTATTGCTATAACCAGAATACCTATCAAGTAGCTGCTTGATCCCCCTCCTCCTCACACCAGTGATGATGAGTTTTATATCAGCTTGAGAGTGTTAGTGTTGGTACTGACTCATCACCCAGATGACTGGATGATGTATATTTCTTTATAGTACCATTTCATAGTTTGTAAAGTCAGGAAACATTCCTCTGAAACTGGCTAGCTGATTTGGAGGTAAAGCAGTTGTTTCTTTTCTTGTCACTCCTTCACCTCTCCACCCCCAGGGGAATCAGGATGTCCCATGTTATGTTTAAAAGCCTTAATACTTCTAACTTTTATTCTCCTGTTGAGTTCGAAAGGGGGGCGTTATTAGCTCTGTCTTGATGTAGCAGGGGCTCTGAGAGTCTATTTGGATAACACTGAAGATTGGAGGAAATGTGACTCTGTCTGTGTGTTTTAAGCCCCTAAGGTAAGATCAGAAAGCGTCTGGGGCAGTGAGAGCCAAATAGTTGAAGTCATACATTAATTATGGTCATGAATCATTTTTATTTTTAAAGTCTTTACCATTTGACAAGGTTGTTTGCATAGTACCAGTGAGTTTTAGGCAGCATTTTCTCTCCATTTAAAGTAACAGGCTATTTTGTTGATTTCTGCTCTGGGTTGGTAATGCCTATCATATTAGAATTCTGATAACATTTTTAGTAAAACTTGCTTGTTTCTTACCGGAATGAATGGTCTTTAATTTATGTGACTTTTGTTTTGAATATATTTTGAAGTTGTAGATATAGAAAACTATCACATTAATCTTTCAGTCTTTCACTGATATCAATAAAAATAGTCAAAAGCTTGGGACTACACTGTTAGATGCTGTCATTAGTCAGCATTCAGTCAGCAACATGTTTTGAGTGCCTTTGTGCCACATTTTGTGCTAAGCACTGGAAATATATGAAAGAATGAGGGTTTTTTCCCCCTCAGAAAGATCTAGTAAAGAAATAGACAGAGAAATAAACCATTGCTGTAAAATATGATTCTATAATCTTTGTTAGTATTGTTATACACCTGTGTTATGGATTTCCATAGAAAGAGGTGCCTCTACCTGTCTGGAATAGTCAGGGAATGCCTTTGAAGAAGAGGTTATGCTTGAGCTGCCTCTTTGTGAGTTTAGGAGGGTACTTATCTGTTCGGCGGCAGGGAAACTTGTAGGCAGAGAGAGCTCACTCAAAGGGACAGAGGCAGAAATAGCATGATGTGTTTGGAGAGTTGTCACTAGTTCACTGTTGCTGCAGTTGAGCCTGCAAGGTAAGAATACCAGGAAATGAGGCTGGAGGTCTATGCTGGGATTACATCACAAAGGGCCTTTCCTTGCTTTTAAATTTTTTTAGAGTCACTTTTGTAGGAGAGTATTACTATCAAGAGAGTGTGTACACATAACACTCCCAGAGCATGAGGCAGTAGGATGGTGTGTAATCTCCTCTGTTGGGTTCCTTCGGAGCCCTGAGGAAATTGCTGAAGAACTGATCTCATGAGCAAGAGTTGTTCCCTTTTAGATGACCTAAGAAATCTTTAGTAACTATCAAGCAGTTTCCGAAAGTGCAGAATATGGCATGAATATTTTTAGTGCAGAGTATCACAGTAATAATGCTGGCAGAAGTATTGATGCCATCAACTCTCTAATACAATTGCCATCCCTCATTTATAGGATAACTTTCAGGTTAGGATTGTTGACTAGTTTTTAAAAACTGAAGTAAAACTTACATACAATGAAATGCTTAGATCTTAAGTTGAATTTCTGTGTAAACTCATGTACCCCTCACCCCAGTCAAGATATAGAACATTTCCATCACCTCAGGTAGTTCCTATGTTCCCCTTTGCTCTCTAACGGTCTGTCCTGCCTCACGTAGGCAACTAGCGACTCTTGATTTCTGTCACCATAGATTGCTTTTACCTGTTCTTGAACTTTGTTTAAATGGAATCATATGGTATGTACT